ATTTACATTTAACCAGTTTAATATGAAGAGACAGTGAAATGTAGACCTTTGTTTATGTGTTTTTGCCCTACACTGTACAAGATGCGAGAAGAGTCCGCTCTTAATGAGAGTATGACAACCAGAAAACGAACGTTTTTGTCTTCATTGGGATTAGGGGTGAATGCTTATGGACATTTTGATCTGTTTTGTTTGGGTTTAGGAAATAGAATAAAATAAATTCCATTACCTATCCTCTCGGGATACCTGGAATCACTGTTACAAGTACCCCAGGCACATCGTTTTTCCATTTTTGAAGCATAAACCCCATAAAAACGATGCGAGCTTCGGATCTTCCAATGTTTCTCTATGGCGCTGAAACCTACAGATGTCAGAGTTCCGCTCCCCGTGCAACTGATACTCGACTGCCATTGGCTCATCTGCATTAGAGGGGAGGGGCTTACCGATAGGTCAATTACAGTGAATGAGGTGAAGATTTTAAGCATTGAAATGATTCTAAATATCATTTGTGGTCTTAAATGACTTGTGGACATATTTGTGTGATAAAAAGATTTAATTTAAGTAGCTGCAACCAGATTGTTGAATCTGTGAACCTAACTTGAGAAATTAATCATTCTGATTCAAGACCAGTTTTCAAAATCAACAGATTTTAAAAGAGTCAGTTGATTCATTCACTACTCCTTTTATGAGCTAGCAGTACAGATATCCATATTTGTAGTGGATAACGTCTTAAATTTTGGTTTGTTCGCCACACAATTCTATTGTATTTCTTCAGAAAACATGCACATATTTTTTATGACTTTTACTTTTAAAGGGATAGTGATGTTATTCCAAACCTGTATACCTTTTTTTTCTGTGGAACATAGAAGAAATTTTGAAGAATGCTGGTTACCAAACCATTTTGGTTCTTATTGACTTTCATTGTAATTTTCATCCATACAACAGACCTTATGCGTCAGAGAAACAAGTGCGCAGCCATCTTTAGAATTTTGTCTTTCAATGTCCGTTTTTGCGGTTGCTCTATAGCATCAGTTTTGAAGAGTAATTAGCTGGTAAAGTGGATTTACTTATTGTAGAGTTAACAAAAGTTATCATGTGCATTGTAATGTTTGAAGCGGATGTCATAACAACTGACAGCAGACCGGAAAGGTTTTAAAACGAGCAGTTCATTCAAAAATTCATACAAGATTACCTTCACACTGTGGGAATACAAACAGAAGACAATGAAGACAGAGCAGCACTGAAAAGGGGAGGAGCTACATAAGGTCTATAGAAGTCAGTGAGTGGGAACAAACTACCCCTTTAATAGTTTTTTTTGTGTCATTTTTGGAGCCTTACAGTCCTATTCACTTGCTGTCATTATATTGACCTTTTGTTTTCAACAGAAGAAAACAAGTAATGCAGGTAGGAAATGGCATGAGGAAAAGTACATGATCATATTTGGGTGAATGATTCCTCTTAACCAGCATTTTTTTAATTTACAGAAGTGTGACTTTGAGTGTGGCTTGGACAGGAAAGATTCACTAGGTTTTTCGCCTTAAGCTGTGCAACCGTGCTTACTTGCATCAGCAGGTGAAGCGCGGCAGAACTCGAGGATGGACGACGCCATATTACAGCCTGCCGCAGAAACTTGTGCACATTATGACAGAGCGAGAGAGCAAGAACGCCATTAGCATTCACGGACGTTGTTTGGCACTCCAGCCGCTCCACTGCGTCGAATCAGGCGTCGTTGATTAATTTCAGCCTATTAGCACCCCCTACCCTCCCCCCCGCCCCTCCCAGGTTAATTCCCCATGCCAGCGAGCGGGAAAGGGGGCTGCGGGTGTGAGCGATGGTGCAGGGGGTTGCAGGGGAGCACGTTGTTGTCAGGACTTTATTAATGAGCGTGCCGCTCAGGTCCTGTGGACAGGGGGACGGTGTTCCTGGCTGCGCACGGCGACGGCGGCTCTGTCGAGGCCTGGCCTAGTTTCTGCCCTCACCGGGGAGCGCGAGGATCCAAGGACTGACGCTGATCACCTGACAGCGGCCCCACTGCTGCGAGAGAGTGTGTACGCACATGTCTGTGTGTGAGAAAGAAAAAAGACAGGAAAGAGAGGATGCAAATGCTGGAGTGGGTAAATGTTTTTTTTTTTTTTTTTTCAGTTTTCTGTCTCTGAATAATTTTGGAAGTTCTCAGAGATGGTGTTATGTGAAGTGTTGATCAGCGGTAGATATTTTCCCACTTTTTCTTCCTGTGATATTCTGTCAAAAGAGCTGTAATATTGTTTCTCTGTAGTCTATAAAAAAGAATTACTGTAAAAGCACCTTCATGAAAACCTTGTTCAGATTTCAACACCACGTTTGACGCTGCTGTGATGTAAAGAAAAGAGCACAATGTCTAGTTTTGAGCCCTCATGGTCATACACTGGATGTGCTGCACCTGGACTTTCTCATCCCTCCACTTCCCGTTGAGCTACCACTTTTAGTCCAACTGCACAATCCATTGTGCCATCAGAAAGTGACTACAACAACATCAGCTGACCCTGAATCATCTGTTCCTTTATACATTCTCTGGTATATTGAAACAGGTGTTTTTATGTTCATGTTATGTCGTATTCACATTTGGCACTACATGAACATGAGTCAGAACCTGAATTTTATTGTCTCCCTCCTCCTGATGGATTTAGGGTTTTACAGTACATTGGTTACGGTACGTTTGTTAAATGGCCATTCCACTTAATCTTCAGCATCACAGCAATCATATTTTTAAAATAAAAAATAAGTCATTTTTTATCCAAGTAGTGAGCTTGCAATCAACATCAAATGTGATAATTTGGTAACTCTTTACAGTTTCATTCCGTTTGTAAGTCAGTACACTAGTCAAACTGTTTTTGAGTGCTAATAAAAATGGCAGAATAGAAAGATGAGTTGTCTTTAATCAGGCATTTTTTTGCATTAACTCCCTTCACCGTAAAATATATATTTTTGGTCTGCCTACTTTTTGATGTCACAAGACATTTTTTTTAAAATCAGGACAAACTTTGTAGTACTTTTGTAAGATGGACCCCAGAAAAACTTATTTTAGTTTAGTTTTATTTAAAGTGCAATTAAATAACCTTTTATTGAGATGTATATACAAATCATTTAGTCTTTTTTTTCTCTAAGTTGAATGTTTGTGTCTACACAAAGGTGTTTGCTGTTAAATAATGGCAAAACAAAACATATTTCTATTGGATTGTCTGCACTGGCTGCAGTAAAATATGCAAATATGTGATCCACTACAAAAGTATTTGAGGACAATAAAGCATAATAAATGTAATCAGTGGCAGTTCACTGCAGCCACAGATTGTTTGATGGTTTATTTTAGCTGAGACCCAGGATTTGGTTCCATGGTGTGCAACCGAATTTAAAAGACTGCTTTCACATTAATCCAGCAAACAATTTTACAGTCAGTTGAACTCAAGTCTGCACCAAAACCTGGATGGATCTCAGGGTGCTTTGTGGGATACAAGCTGTTAGGTTAAGGATTCCATAGGTTGGTGCTCTCATAATTGCACAAAATATAACGCAGGCTTGTGAGTGCATTATAAGAACCGCGGTCCATCGTTCAGGCACACGATGTTGGCTGGCCCACTGAGGCGCTATTAATAGCTGTCATCAATATCTTCTTCTCAACCTCCTCACGTTCCCTATCCACTCAGGACGGCTCCTCTAATGGCATTAAATTTTCAAAAGAGCTGAGTCCACTGTGCCTCTTCGTGCCCATATCCGCCCAACAGGAGAGCAAAGGAGAGAGCGATGGAACGAGAAGAAAGTCACAGTAAAAGAACGAAAGACTCGGACGTGGTGGAATGCAGTTTAAAACTGAATATGCAGGTTTTTAAAAATGGAGATTGAATGTAGGCTGTGGAGAGATGGGGACATGTAGATGTGGTCGGTGTCCATATCTACTAATTCTCTACTCTGTTGTGAATAATGCATTAGCACTTTAATCATCCTCCACTGCTGCCCGCCGTGCCACGCCACTGTCATGGTGGTCTGAACAGTGCCCGTTGTGGCCCCTCCATCAGTGCCCTCTGCCCTGACCTGGGACGTTTAGCTGTGTCAGGCAAACGCACCATCGCAAGAGATCCTGACCCTCGCCTCTACCTACAACTTGTCCTAGTCTAATCGATTACTCCTGAGCGCACAAGATAATGGGACACACACACACGGTTACACACGTTCGGCTCGTCTCCTGTCCGCCGAGCCTGATGACCTTTTCTGCTTTTGAGAGATGTCAGTTCACTGCCATCTATGAACTCGCAGTGGACACTGTAGTTAAAAATACTGTTACTAAGGAGAATTAATAACATTCAAAAGATGGCACTTTTAGTTCTCTTTCATTTTAGTTTGAAGTTTTTTTTTGTTTTTTTGCATTTAACACCTGATGAGAGGGGTCATTATGGTCGACTTACTATTCATCCAACTACTTGAGTATCAAGTAGTTAGTTATTTTTCCCCTTCGCCGTGCAATTTCAGTCTTTTTGCTGTTCTGTTGTATCTCAATGTTTATTGTTTTGGCTGTCGCCC